GCGTCGAAGCTTGTGTAATTCATCAACTTCGTCTTCCAATTCACTCTAATGCATCTCAACGCGCCGGTATCGCAGTTGCGTTTGAGACTGATCAGGTGGTTGCTGTTGAAGTTCAGGACTTGCATAATGTTGGTTGTAGTCCCGAACACTTTAGTGTAAGTGTTAGTCTTTGCGGCAAACGAGGACATTCAGAAAGGCCAGCTGGTTGTTTTCTTCTTACTCCATAGTAAATTGTATGTCCGGGACGTTCCTTGAATGTCAGAACCTGATCCCGCTCAATTATGACGAAGTTGTCGTCCACATATCGAGCTCAGAGTTTCGTCTGTGGGGTCGGTAAACCAGCAACTCCAACCGTTGCAAGACCGCCTCTGCTATGAGTCCGGAACCCATGGGTGTACCCCTCACCTGCTCATAGATAGTTCCGTTAAAGGTAAAGTACGTCTTGAGACAGAACTTTAGGAGCTGGAGGACTTGAGCGTGTCCGAGGTGATTCTCCCTTTCATCGTATTTCCCTCGAAGAATTAATTGAATAGTCTCAACTGCCAGGTTCTGTGGAATATAAGTGAAAAGGGATGTGACATCAAAGGATACCATGACATCGTTTGGCAGGAGGCTTACCCCTTTAAGTTTCTCCAAGAATTGTGTCGAAGATCTGACTATTGTGTCTGAATCAGCGGTCAAGAATTTGAGCCGATGAAACAGCCATTTTGCCAGTCCGTAGGTTGGAGTTCCTTTGAGAGATACGAGTGGCCGGAGGGGTGCGCCCTCCTTGTGCACCTGGCGGAGACCACAGAAGCGGGCTAGGGCCGTTTCTTGCGTTCTCACCATGCGTCGGTCAATTGGCGATATTGCACCTGAGTTCTCCATTGCCAACAGCGTTGTGTTGATCTTGCGTGCCAGCGTTTTTATGGGGTTGGATTTGCATGGGACGTAGGACTGAAGATCGTCTAACAACGTTTGAGCTTTGTGAATGTAGTCTGTCCTGTCCAATACGACAGTGGACCACCCCTTGTCCGCCGGCAAAAAAACGAGGTCATTGTTGGCTCTGAGTTCTTTGAGTGCTTTACGTTCGACTAGTATCGACCAGTCGATATGCCAGTAGGAGGGACGACACCTGGTGCCGTATAAGGTTCTTCGTTTCGTCCGTAACTTCCGCTTAGCTGAGAATGGATTTTACTGCAGCAACCATGTTAGCAGGTCTGGCATCAGCTCTGTTGAATGAGGCTTCATGCCTTAACAACCGCATGTGTTCCTCTGTCAGCTCCTGGGATGACAGGCTGGGCGCCAGTTTGTCATCTTTGGAAGACGTTGGACGAGGTAACTTGCGAAAGTTAATTTCAAGTGCTGCTTCTCGCTTCGCTTTGTGTTCGCGGGCTCGTTCGG